CCTCCTCCGCCTCCTCCTCCACCGCCGCCGCCAAATCCAAACCCTCCTCCACCTCCTCGTTTTCTGTCAAGTAATGTTATCAGTTTTCGCATTGCTAAGACCAAATTTTCATCGTCATCTTCTTCAGTTGATGCCTGTATTTTAAAAGAATTGTTTATGGTAATGGTGAAAAAAAATGTATTTTTGAGTATTTAAAATCAATCAATGGAAGCAACAGGAGAAGAATATTAAATGTGAGTAGGCGAGTACATTTCCAATTGCTTCTAATTATTATGCTCATTATAATAGTTCTGTGGGCCGTGGAAACATAGAACAGATTATTATAACATAATTAGTGATATGAGTCAGAGACGTTCTTGGTGAAGAGGAGTGATGTTGAGAGACACGGTCCATGAATGTTATGATACTGGTGCATAAAACACTATTATTGCAAATTGTAGTTATATTTTCAGAATATCAATATTTTGCTGCCTAAATGAATTGCAGCATATAGTATTAAACAGACCTTCCCAATGCTAAAACGCTTCTTCCCCCCCCCCCCACCAAGCCCTCTCCTGGACCGGAACTCGGTTTCCCCTGGATAAATACCGGTAGTAACTACACCCTTTAAGGGATCACAGATAGGGGGCCTGATAGTTATCTACTGGGTTTTAAAATAGGGTGGACAGGGGTTACCGATATACATAAACTAGCGGCGAAGAGCGTTCTTGTTTTGATATTATGTGTAGGCCTATTTGAAACTATTCAATACCAGTTTTGAGAACTTCAGGCGCATAATGGATGCAGTTTAATTTTTTTTTTTCAGTGACAATTATCTCACTTATAATCTCACCTATAGTTTTTACCTTCTAAAAAGGCCCCATTTTTTACCCCCAAAAAAGGCATGATCGGTAGGCCAACCCGCCACTGTACAAGGATGGGTTCAATGAGTGTAGACCTATGTTGGCAGACAGTTATAGATATTATTTATTCTTTGATGAACTGATTCAGACAAGGTACCAAAGATGAATTACTACCTCACGTCTTTGCGTAAATGCATGTGTAACCTAAACTTATCGTATAGTGCGTGGATATATTTTTATCTATCTAAGATATAATTTGTCACCGGATAGGCCTACCTTTCAACTGGTTTATTTACATTTAGAAAAGAATTTCATACTTATTTGCAAATGCAGAGATAAATGTCAACTGATCTTTGCGTGGGTTTGTTGTAGTGAGGTGGGCCTAATTGCGATAGCAAACAACTCGAACGGTGAAAATCAAATGGCGATGGTACATGGAACATTGATATCTAGAACTCTGAGCTTAACAACGAACAATATAACTGCAACAACAGGATTTACGGTGTGCAAATATTAAGTAGGTCAATTTATTATGAAAAACCCACCTATGGTACAAACTTTTTGTTTGGTAATAGATATTGTTATTTTATTTAGGCTACATCCATTGCCCAACTTAATAATATAGTGGCCGACCATTTTTTTGTGCTAAGGGACAAAACATGCGATGGCGATGTTATTACCCTTAGGCACGCCATTGGATTCATTTTAGCAAGCCGGCACAAAGTGCAACATTATGCACTCCCTGGGGGAGTATGAGTATACCTATCAGTCTATGCCGTACAGTGGTGGCGCCAGAATTTCCCCGACGGGGAGGGGGTCCAAGTTCCCCGACGGGGGTGCTGATGTCCCCAACGAGAAAAAAGTGGGCGTGGTCGGGCGTCGCTAAAAACCTTTCGAAAGTGGCCGAGTGGGCGTAGCCCCCAGAAAATATGACAATTTAGGGGTTTCAAAGGCTTATTTAATAGATTTTAGAATTTATTAATATGTACAAAATACACATAATTTTTTTGAATTTTTTTTTCTCCCCGACGAATTGTGGTTTTTCTCCCCGACGGGGGGAGGGGGCCTCCCTCCACAGCCCTATCCCCCGTGCTATAGCTACGCCACTAATGCCGTAGCACCTATTGGGACAATTGGGACAGTTTCACACAATTTTCTATTGGGTCCACAAAGAATGGGTCCACATTTTATAAATGGGTCCAGATTTCTCATAATTTGTGTAAAATGGTTCAAATTTTAAGAAAATGGGTCCAGATTTCTCATATTTTGCATAAAATGGTCAAATTGTAAGAAAATAAGTCCATTTTATTCATATGTTTGCGTAAAATGGGACAACTTTTAGGAAAATGGGTACAGTCAGAAGTTCGAACAACCGACCTCAAGGATAACAGCCTGAACCACTGCACCAATTACACATAAACATAGCGACGGCGGTTGAGTTGGCACTCCTGTACCTTGAAGTTGGAAGTAAGGACTGTTATTTGGCCGGCGCTTACCCGTGCCCATCTCCACCCAGAAGGTACTTTACGGTAGCACGCCCTCACTAGGTGTTTCCAACTTTGCAAAACTTCGGCTTGTGGCCCAATAGGCCCTAAAATCGGTAGGACTAATCCCAATTCTATTACGTTTATAGGTCTTACCTCATGGTTCAGTTTGTGTTGGAATTCGACGTCATTGGAAACCTCTGCAACCTCATTGTTTTCGACTGGTGCAGCGATGCAACTAGAGAGTAGCACCAGGGCCAGGAAGGAGATCCATTTCAGACTCCTCATTGCTGCCAATCTGGCATAGAATTACTCACCACTATAAAAGTAAAATTCAGTGTTCCCTTATAGCTCTTTCTTGCCCAATGGATACCGAATAAGTAGATCAGAACTCGTCTGGATTGAGTTGTAAGTATTGCGCAGTAACGATACTTGCAGGTAACTAGATAAAACAATTCGATTCTATTGGTCTACTGTTGAATGGTCCTAAAAAGGGGTATGTCTGCAGGTTTGATATTGTTTACTGTTGTGATAGGCCTATTTATTTTTTGATAATTGCGTTAGCTTTATATATGTTTGTGTATATATCAAATCGTGGGCACAGCGATTTTATCAGTGTTGCTACATACGGAACCATAGAGACATGTCATCACTGTAGAACATTGATAGGTCAAAGATAGTCGGTCGGAGTATTGGCTATTCTTGAATAGTATAGCCACTAAAGATTATTTACAAGGTAACAAGAAAAACGCTAATTACAGACCACTTTCATTAATCAGAAACAGATATTTATTTTGATTTCACCACTGATTATCTATTACAAAAGTTAATAATAGGTTTTTAGCCATGATTGACTTTAATACTTTAGCTCGAAATTTTGAAATGATTAAACTTGGTGGAATATTTATACATAATCCATCGGCTCCCATTTCTTTAAGATAAAATCCAAAAAGTCGTCAAGTTCTCTTTTGCTGCTGCCTCTACCGCTTTTACTGCTGCCTCTACCACTTTTGCT